GGAAAAGTCAACCGGATGTTGACTTATGAGTTAGAAGGCTCGGATGTGATTTCCAGTGATTTGGTTAGCTTGGGGGAGTTATTTGTGACTTAGGAGTGTGATCGGAAGTGATTTGGAGGTCCGGTGTAGAATTAGGCTTGAATTGGCGAAGTTAGTATTTTGGCGAATTCCGGTTGATAGGTGAGATTTTGATCCGAGGGTCAGAATGGAATTCCGAGAGTTGCTGTAGCTTCGTTAGGTGATTTGGGATGTGTGTGCAAAATTTCAGGTTATTCGGAGGTGATTTGGTTGGATTTTTGATCAAATGCGTGTTTCGGAAGTTTTAGAAGAACTTAGGCTTGAATCCGATGTAAATTTGGTGTTTTGATGTTAGTTTTGGTGTTTTGAGAGTGCAACTAAGTTTGAATGATCATATGTGACGTGTTAGTATGTTCGTATGCGGTCGCGAGGAGCTCGGGTGAGTTTCGGATAGGTTTGGGCTGCGTTGTGCTCGTTTTTCTTATGCTTTGACGTCGTTTCTTCAAGCATAAATGATATCATATTGAACAAATGAGCTCCGATTACTGTTTTGAATGAAGCATTAGATTTGTATCGTAATTACGGACCCGTAGCAAAAAGAATCATCGAATTTGGACATCGTATGAGGATTTTATGGCCATTTTACCAAGGTTGCCCAGATTTTCAGGTTAATGACGAAATTGCCCCTGACGGCGTATTAAAAACCTGCACTATTTGCAAATCTTAAAACCTATATATCTCCTTCATTATAAGGTCAAATTGAGTGATTCAAAAGCCTAAATTCATTAGAATATCACAAGGAATCCACTGGGAGCAGTAAAACGCGTGAACAGTATACCTATAATGAGCAGATCGAGTTTTCTTCCAATTTTTGAACGGGAAGAAGCTTCTGAGGCGATTTTTAAGAGAGAAAATCAGTGGGTATCACAGAGGTAAGTGATTTGATTATTAAAACTCGTTTATGGGTTATTATAGACCATAATCCCAGCCTTTAATTCATGAAAAACAGTAGAAAAATAGGATTTTGGGGCCTGAGATTATGAGACCTTTAGGGGTCGATTTGAGAGGTCAAACGGACTCCGATTTTGGTGTTCTTTATATGTGCGGAATCGGGAGAAGATGAAGAACACTTTCCTGTAAAAATTTCTGAGTGTCGAGAAGTGGGCCCGGGGCTCGGGTTTTGTCAATTTCGGGATTATTGATGTTTTTCGATTATTTTCTATTGGGTATTGATCTTATAGCATAATGTGACATATTTGTTGTGGTTTTGGTCAGATTCGGCGCGCGAGGAGGTCGATTTGAGAGGCAAGGGCATAGCGAGCTAGGATTTTGGCCGGCTTGAGGTGAGTAATAGATGTAAATGTTGTTCTGAGGGTTTGAAACCCCGTGTTTGCACATCATAGTGCTATATTGAGGTGACTTTCACGCCGGGTAGCAAGCGTGGGGTAGAGCACCGTTGGGGATTGTGACTTGGTTCATTCCGGTAGATGAATATACTGCGTATTTGACTGAAATTCACTTATTATTATTTTAATTGAGCTGATTGCTATATTTGGGCTTCGTGCCAATTAATTAAATCCTTCAGGGATTGTTGTTACTGGTTTCTTACCATTTCTACATATCATTGAACTCAGTCGTAGAATTTAATACTGTTTTGCAAACTCAGCCACTTTTCTCAAACTAAAAACTTAATTAATAATTTTAAATGAAGTTTGGGCTGAATATTTCTATATTAATGTGCCCGAGAGGCTTATGTGATTTTGGGCTGAGTATGGGATCGGGCTGCGCGCCGCCGCTGTATGAAATTGATATTGATATGAGGCCGAGGGCCTTGTTGAGCCACGATATGGCTTATTATTGCGCTTGGGCCGTAAGGGGCCCCTCCCGGAGTCTGCACACCCCCAGCGAGCGCCGTCGACGATAAATAAATGGGGCGGGTTGCACGTCGCAGCGGGTACTGGAGAGTACCGATCTATGTGTTGCATTGCATATTTGATTTTCATTTAATTATTTATCTGTTGTGGGATTTTCCATATTTTCACTAATTTTACTGATTTTATACTGCTGGGTTCAAGTTGCTGTATTTATAGAATTACTTTGTGCCTATTCAGGATTTCTTATTCTCAACCTTTATTTATGTTTATTACTCACTGGGTCGGAGTACTCACATTACTCCCTGCACCTTGCGTGCAAGTCCAAGTACACCTGAGGCTGTGTGAGGACTTCTCTGCCTAGCATCATATCTGGAAGTTTCAAGGTAGCTGCATTTGACGTTCGCAGTCCTGATCTTCCTTCTATCTTATTTCCTTTATTTCCGCATTTCTAGAGAACGATATGTAGTAGGTTGATACTCATGTATTAGAGGCTCAGACTTGTAACACCGGATTCTTCGGGCTGTGTAGTAGTATTTCTACTTGGGTTTTCTGCATGTTTTAACTATATTTCAGAGTTTCAGTATTATGACTTAGTAATTATTTGTGTTAATTGAATCATGAGCTGTATAAAAAGGGTTAAGGTTGTTGAATTGGTCGGGCTTGCCTAGCAGTGTGTTGGGCGCCATCACGACCGGGGTTGGGATCGTGACATTTTTGTACTTCCTATTTTATGAAAATAGGTAGAAAGCACCAAGACTTGATGAATGACTTACTACTCAATTGCTTTTATTAGCCATAGTAATTATCACATCTTCTTTAGGTTAAAAAAGGTTCTACCCTAAAATCCAAAGTGAAAAGTGGGACAAAAGAGAGCCTAAATTATGATACCCTTTAACAAGTAGCAACTATCGATTTTTACATTGAGTAGATGAAAAATCGGATCTGAAACTGGAACTACCAAAGTAGATGAAAGAAATTGATAAATTAGTTCTTGGGGGAAAAAAGTAGGAGACATTCAGATCTGAAATTAGAACATTCAAAGTAGATGGAAAAAACTGATAAAATAATTCTTGATATAAGTTTGAATGAACAATAATGGAACCTACAAAAAATTTCAGCATGAAATTCGAAATTTTGAAAAGAGATAGGAAAGAAGATGAGGAAAAAATTTACCTAGCGAGATGAATCAAAGTAAAGGAGATGAAGTGACTTACAGATGAGTAAGGAGATGAAAGTGAGTGAGCAGAGTAGATGAAAATGACTGAAAAAGTATAGGGTGTTATGTTTTTTTGATGGATGTAAGGTTTTGACGGAAAAGTCTAGAATAGTGTAGATAAAATAAAATCTTTTTAAAAACAATTAGATGAGAGGGTATAATGACAAATTTATCCTTGGTCGACCAACTTCTCATTTCTATATAGTAGAAAAATATGCATAGACATTAAATTGAGAAATACCAGTTCAAAATTCTTGAGATCATTCTGATCAGTAATTAAGATATGGTTGTCTCAAGAATCATTTCAGTTTCGGAAAAGATTATTAAGCCCTCCTCTGCCACTCCATCTCCATTTATTACAAGCTTTCTCTTCTTGATCAAGTCATGAGTACCATGTACATTCCCATTGCTTTCTTCTACCCTAGACCTCTACATCACAACATTAATAAAAGTTCCAAACAAGAATTAGCCCAAGTTCTGGAGAATTCTCTATCGAAATCCTTAACCTCTTATTATCCATTTGCTGGGAAGTTGAAAGATAATGTAGCTATTGAATGCAATGACATGGGAGCTAAATTCTTAAATGTTGAACTGAATTGTTCCATGTCTGATGTCGTCAATCTTCCTGATACTGGTCCTGAATATTTGACCTTCCCTAAAAATTTGCCTTGGAATACTTCATATGACAAGGGTAGTAATTTTGTTGTGGCTCAATTAAGTCATTTCAAATGTGGAGGAATAGCGGTCAGTGCATGTTTATCACACAAGCTTGGAGATGGATGTATGTATTGTAAGTAATTTCATGAATGACTGGGCAACTATTGCACGTTATAATTATTCATCAAAAAATTACGTGACAAGTAGGCCACAATGGATTGGTGCATCTATATTTCCACCAACCAATAATCCTTCAGCTATATCAAGTATTTCAGCCTATAAACCACCTTATATAGCAAAAAGGTATGTTTTCTCCTGTTCTAAAATCAGTGCCCTAAAGGAAGAAGTAATGGCATCAGAATCAGGAGTGCAAAATCCGACACGTAACGAGGTTGTGACTGCACTGCTCTATAAATGTATTATGGCTGCGTCAAGGTCGAATTCAGGTGGAATTTTTAAACCATCTGTGCTAAATCAAATGGTAAATTTACGGCCAAGACTCAATCCTCCTCTCCCTAATAACTCTGCAGGGAATTTTGTTACAACAATCTCGATAAAATCTACCAGCGATATTGAACAAATGAGCCGCGCAAGAGTGAATTCAAGAGTTGAGAAAGGGAAAAGAACAACTCAAGAAGAAACTGTTGATAATTATTGGTAATGTGTCAAAAGATTTTTTTATATGTGGCGTTGGTTTAGAAGATTGTGTGACAAATGGCTCTATTAAGCCAAGTGGATATGAATACCCACCATGTGGCACTTTGCATGAAGATATGTAGCCAAATGGCTAAGCCATAAACAAGTGGCAATCCTTTTTCATGCAATAAAACATTTNTTTTTTCTTGTTTCATTCTATTAACTTTTGTTCCCGCTTAACGTTCTTTTGTACTCCCTCCGTTCACTTTGGTACGTTTTGACTTTTCACGCTCCTTAAGAAATAATAAATGAAGTGCATAATTTACCATGATACTCATATTAATTGATGCATATTTTATTTGATTTGAAAAAATGATATGAAATGAATAATAAATACTGTGGGTATAACAGGAAAATAAAATATGTCTTCTCTTGATATACGTAAAGTGACAAGTAAAAATGAAAATCTATTTTAATATACATGCCAAGTAAAAGTGAACGGAGGGAGTACAAGAATTATCTCGGGTGATGACTTTAATTTAATGGAACATAAATACCCTCGACAGGTTTGCAAAACTTGCTTAATTCACAAGTTATGCGGGGTGGGATATAACTTTGGTACAAATTCTTCACATTATTCTGTTAAATAAGAAAAACTTGGCTTGTGCACAAGTTATGACAAACTAGCATAACTTATACAAATTATTCACAAGTTCTGTCGGATCAATATGTGGTAGTATTTTCAAAATAAATGAGTCCAAGTGTTATGCGTTAAATCAAATGTCCATATGTATGTAAAGAGTTTTTACATGTGGCAAGCCTTCTAGAAGCTATGGACAAATGGCTTATTTTGTCCAAGTGTCCTCTTGCATGAAGAAAATTTGACAAGTAAGTACAACACTTGTCTTGTGTAGAAGCTTTCCTTAGGCCTATAAATAGCCATGATTAGGCCATCATTCTTCAATCATCAAACACCAAGAAAAGCTAATCATTAGCAAAGAAGAAATACTCTATCTTCTTTCCTTCCTATACGACCCTCTCTTTCTAATTTCTTCTTTTATAATATTTTGATTGGCATAAGATATTAGTTGCTCTTTCTCTTCCAACTTGCTGGATTTATTATTTAATTTTGCTGATTCCTATATCCTCCCAAATGGAGATGGGCTTGTTAAATCCTGGGGAAACATTTCACATTGTTGAAATAGTTTCTTAGGACAGTGCCTAGCACGACTCAAGCCAGTCCGTGTATCCGTTCACAAATAATATTATTGCAGTATTATTATTGTTGTTATTTTCGGTGTCATTTCCCTACAATCTAAGAAACTAAGGCAAGTAATACTACTACGGAAATTTTTGATGGTGCTACCAATTTTGGTATTGTCTCTACTACTACTGTTCCAGCTGTCCTGCCAGATATCCATGGTGTTGCAAATACGTTATTGCATCCACAACTTTGGCAGACACTAATGTCCAAACACAGGTATGTGAACAAACATGGTTACATATCCAATGCTAATATTAAAACCTTCAAGAAAAATGCACCTCAATGCAATAGTAGAGTTGGGATAAATGACAATCTCGCTAAGTCAAAATTACATTTGACTAAAGCGAATAATATAATTATTGCGGTCATCTCCCAAATAAATAATGTGGCCAGTGTGAGAGATTGGGTGATAGACTCTGGTGCTACTAGGCACATTTGTTCAAACAAAAATGAATTTCTTTCTTACACCCAAGTTGAGGAAGGAGAAGAAACTATTTATCTTGGTGACTCAAGAATAACTCGTGTTCTTGGGAAAGGAAAAATTCTTCTCAAACTCACATCTGGTAAAACTCTAGCATTGAGTGATATATTGAATGTTCCTAATATCCAAACCAATTTGGTTTCTGTGGGGTTATTAGGAAAAGTTGGAGTGAAGGTTTCATTTGAAAATAATGAGGTCGTATTGACCAAAAATGATATTTTGTGGGCAATGGATATTGTAACTATGGTTTACTTGTATATTTCTGATACTAGCAATGAAAATGCATCTTCTTCTGCTTATATGGTTGAGTCAATTTCTTTGTGGCATGCTAGACTAGGACATGTTAATGTCACGTATATAAAGAAAATGCAGTCACTAGGATTAACATCTGGTTAAGACTCAAGTAATATTAATAAGTGTAAAATATGTGTTGAAGCTAAAAGTACAAGAAAGACTTGTTTTTCTGTAAATAAAGAAACTGAATTGTTATCTTTGATTCACACTGATTTAGGCGATTTAAAGCAGACTATGACTAGAGGTGGTAAAAGATATTATGTGACTTTTATTGATGATTTTTCTAGATATACTAAGTTGTATTTGCTTAGAAATAAAGATGATGCATTTAATGCTTTTATTTCTTATAAAACTGAGGTTGAAAATCAACTTAGTAGAAAAATTAAGAGAATTAGATCAGATAGAGGTGGAGAATATTTAACTTTAAATGATTTTTGTGAAAAGAATGGAATAATTCATGAAGTAACTCCGCCTTATTCACCTGAGTCAAATGGAGTAGCTGAAAGGAAAAATAGAACATTGAAAGAGATGATGAACTCTATGTTAGTCAGTTCTAATGCTCCTGATAATTTGTGGGGTGAAGTTATTCTACCTGCATGTCACTTACAAAATAGAATACCACATAGAAGAACAAGCAAAAATCCTTATGAATTGTGGAAGGGTTATAAACCTAATTTAAAATATTTAAAAGTGTGGGGGTGCCTTGCAAAAGTTCTTTTGCCTGAACCTAAAAAGAGAAAAATAAGTTCTAAAATTGCTGATTGCATGCTAATTGGATATGCAGAACATAGTGCTGCATATAGATTTCTTGTTTTAATAAGTGATGTGCTTGATTGCAGTACTATAATTGAGACAAAGAATGCTGAGTTCTTTGAATATATTTATCCATTATCTGATAAAATTTCTCATAAACCTGTTGAAACAAATAATAAAATTACCTCTAATGAGGAACTGAGAAGGAGCAAAAGGCTTGGGAAAGAATATTTTTCTTATGGAAATGATTTTCAAACTTTTCTTGTCAATAATGAACCATCAAATTATTTTGAAGTTATATCTTCTTCAGATGCTAAATATTGGAAAGAGGCAATAAAAGTTGAAATTGATTCCATTATGAAAAATAATACATGGATTTTAGCTGACTTACCTCCTGGTGCAAAACCTATTGGCTGTAAATGGATTTTCAAAAACAAATCTAATCCTGATGGATCTTCAGATAAATATAAAGCTCGGTTAGTAGCAAAAGGATTTTCTCAAAAACAAAATATAGATTATTTTGATACATTTGCACCAGAGACTAGAATTTCTTCTATTCGAGTTTTAATTGCCTTAGCTTCAATTCGAAGCTTTTTATCCACCAAATGGATGTCAAAACTGCTTTTTTGAATGGTGATTTAGAAGAAGAAATTTATATGGTTCAACCTGAAGGCTGTGTCATTCCTGGACAAGAAAATAAAGTTTGTAAATTAATAAAATCTCTTTATGGACTTAAACAAGCTCTTAAGCAGTGGTATGAGAAATTTGAACAAGTCTTACTGAGAGACAATTTTTCTTCAGTTGAGGTGGATAAATGTGTTTATACTAAAGTGGTAAACAATGATTATGTGATAATATGTCTGTATGTTGATGAAATGCTTATATTTGGTACAAGTTTAAATATTGTGCAAAGTACTAAATTATTTCTGTCTGCTAATTTTGATATGAAAGGTCTGGGTGAAGTAAATATGATATTGGGAGTTAAAGTTATAAGGAGTAAAGATGGCATAATGTTGTCACAAGAACATTATGTTGAGAGACTTCTTAAGAAGTTTTAATATTTTAATGTCACATCTGTGAGCACTCCTTTTGATGCTAACTTTAAATTAAAAAAGAATAATGGTGACCCAGTTGCTCAGTCTAAATATGCTCAAATTATTGGGAGTCTGATGCATTTAATGAATTTTACAAGGTCTGATATAGCCTATGCAGTGTGTAGACTGAGCAGATATACTCATAATCCCAACAGAGAGCATTGGTCTGCATTAGATAGACTAATGAAATATTTGAGAGGAACCATGAATTATGGTATCCTATATAGTGGATTTCCTTCTACTTTAGAAGGGTACAGTGATGCAAATTGGATCTCTGATTCAGATGAGACAAAATCCACTAGTGGATATGTATTCACCCTTGGTGGTGGTGCAATATCATGGAAATCAGCTAAACAGACGATCATTGCTAGATCGACTATGGAATCAGAGTTTGTAGCTCTGGAATTAGCTGGTTCTGAGGCTGAGTGGCTAAGAAACTTCTTAGCTAATATGTCACAACCCGGATTTCCCACCCTCGGGAGTCGTGATGGCGCATACTAATAGGAGCTAGGCAAGCCAATTATCAATTACCTCTTTTAGCGAACATCGACAATATTAGAAACAATGAAGCATTTAATAATAAAGCGGAAGTCTCAAATATATTTAACTGAAAGAAATATGGAAGTTTAGCGAAATTCTCTACCCAAGACTGGTGTCACAATACTCACGAACGTCTAGAGAATACTAAATACAAGGTTCGAATGAAACATAAAACTGTCTGCTTCGGTACAAATGACAACAAACTGAATAAAATGGAAAGGGACTCCGGGCCTGCGGACGTCAGCAAGGCTACCTCGAATGTCCCTGGACTGAAGTCAGCTCCCAAATCCTCTACTGTTGTCCAAAAGTTGCTGCTCCGGCGCTGTGATCTATGCAAAAAGATGCACAGAGTGTAGCATCAGCACAACCGACCCGATGTGCTGGTAAGTGCCTAGCCTAACCTCGATGAAGTAGTGACGAGGCTAGACCAGACTACCAGATAAACCTGTGCAGTTACGAAATATCTTGCAGAAAAATAAACAGGAAATAAGCAGTTTATAAGGGAGGGGGAGCATGCTGTGGGGACGCAACAGTTATAAACAAGGAGTCTAAATTCTAAGGTTATAACAGCCAACAGAACTTTAAATCCGGAATAAACA